CTGTAATTCATTAAGGAAATACTCACTACAGTCAATGATTTGTCGGATGATATATTGTTGACAGTATTTGGTTATTGTCATCCGGTCGATTTGATCCATGGTTGTTCTTTGGTTTGTCGCCGTTGGAATTATTTGGCGAATTATTCCAGTTTATTCACCGAAGTTCGGGTGTTAGTTGACGATTTTTCATTGAAATATGGCAGTGTGAAAATGTTCTTTCACAGGGTAAGCTTTATACTAATAATCTTTTTTGCCTGAAATACCTGGAATCAGTAAGGGAAATTTTCGTGTTTTATGGGTCGTGATTAATCGAAGCTATGAGGACAGACTTATCGTCTTGAATCGTCTTACTTTGAAATTTTGCTTTGAAATAACTTGCCTTCTGTTTCATACTTTTGTTAATTGATGAATCAGGATGTAGGTGTTCGTTCACTCTTTTTGCATATTTCTAGACTTCGCAGTATCTTCGAAAATTGTGCATTGATTGTCCAGTGCCTTTGCCATCTGCCGAAGTTAACGCATTGTTCGACATTTACTTTCCCAATGTCATCCATCTGGATCTTGGCTCTTTGAAGGGTACAAATTGAGATCGCTTTACTTCACAAATCACCTTACTTGACAAGAGAATTGATATAAAAAAAGGAGATAATATATATCAAGAGACCTTAGTAAGAGTTAATTTCCTCCAAATTTAAACATGCAATTTTCTTTGCTAAATGTGGGTTCTTTTTTTTCAGAAATGAATACCGCATTGTTGAAAAAGTTATCAAATTGCTTCCCCAATGTTGAAACTTTGCACATGGAGAAAATAGAACGAGTATGATTTATATTGTAAATTGCATCAAATATCTCATCGCCATATAGAGTACCATAATATCTGGTACTAATATTATTATTACTGTCAAATATTCCATTACTTGAATGGATTTTATTACTTTTCAGATCACTGTTTTGGACATTTAATTTTTCAATGTTTAACATTACAGTTTAGGCGTCATTTGTTAAAAACAATTTTAGTTTAAGGTTTAATAATGTCGTTATTGTTATTCATGATTTACATGTTGCATTTTCTAGAGTTCAAAGTGTGATGATAATGCACAGGAATGGGGAAAAACGTTGAAAATGTTATTTGAGGATGAAAGCATTTTTCCGAAGGTGCAAAATTTCTTTGTTGGTAATGTAAGTGCATATAGTTCGGAAAGTGATCCGAAATTGCCGGCTTGCAATCGTCCGCTGAATTTATTACATATTTACGACGGGATGGGTGAAATTGAGTAAGTCTGGTTTCTTGTAGAGATTACCCGTTAGCTGTCGAGTTTGATCATCTTTGAAAATAGTCTTATGAACCATCCTTTGGAATCTGTTGTTTGAGTATCATTTAGCTTCAAGCTCGATTCATTAGACATTGGTGTCACAAGACTTGGCAGTATTTTGGCACACATTACAACCTCGACACTCGACACAGACATATTTGATAATACCATTGCTTTTCAGTTTCAGCGTGATTAGAACTTCTCCGTGGCGGTCAACTCTTACAGAACTTCATCTTGGATCTCATATTAGAAACGATGGCATTGAATACATTGGACTTTTGCAAAATTTGAAAGTTTTTTCCTGGGGTCTAAGTCTTTATACATTCGATGAAGAATTCGCTCATATAAAGGCAAGGAAAATCGAAAATATGAGATTGACGCTGTCAATAGTATGAGGGTAATGCAATCAGACTGTTATAAATGAGGAGCGTGATATATCTTCATGAGTTTCACTCAATGTTTCAAGTCTCTAATTTTTCAATTTGTGTTAACTAAATGATTCATCCTTCCAACTTTACAAAGGTTTAACGAAATAGACCAATAATTTTTTTTTTAAATACTTTCTGTTCGTCCCGAATTTGACTTAATCTGACATTTTTTTTTTTTTTTTAATTAAATGTTTTCATATTTTTACATGTTTCGATGTAAATATCTTAAATAATTACTTTAATAACTTTCATACCTCTAATTTTGCAATAAGCATTATGAAAATAAGTGCCGTTTTGGTTTTCTACACTACTTTTTGAAAATTGCAGAATTTGTACAATTTGGAAGAGTTAAGGATATTTTTCGGTGGTGAAGATTGTAATGTTTCGCCCGATGGTTTGATTGCCTTGTTCACTTTGCCCGATAAGGAACCTGAGAAGTCATTTCCGTACAAACTTAAACATTTAGTAATTGCAAATTATTTCGAAACTAGCGTTGATCTTCTTCAAGCCATCAATCGGAAGTGAGTTAATTTCTGGTGGTAAATATATTTAGCCAGTCTCCTCCTCATCAACTTGTAGTAATATCCAATATTCAACTTGTAGTAATTTTTATTATAAATGTGTTGCTACGGTAATTAGATATGATCTATTGCAGTTGTCCAGATTTGCGAACACTTGGTCTACCATTCAATGAGTATTCATTATTCAGGGATGAAATTATGCCTTTTATTATTAGTAAGTTCAAGTAAGTAGTTTCTTTCTTATCATTGGTTTATCAAAATATTTAAACTGTTATTGCTGCTGCTTATATTTTCTATTTTTCAAGAGTTTTTTCGGTATCCAAACAATAAGTTCAATTCATAATTTGTGCAATAAGTTCAATTTTTTACTACTTTGCAGTACTCGTTCCAGAACACTATGAAGTTTTATTTTACACAAAATTAGATAATGATTTCTAGTGTCTTTTTTTCAGACACTTAATATTCCTGGATCTAAGCAATTTCGGGGAATGTTATAAAGATGAAGTGTGGAATAATTTGAAAAACGACGACTTGCCGGACTTATGTCTCCTCAAACTTCATGGAAATAAGGTACTGTTTACTGGAGAGGAGCATGAGATTTAGAATTACTGCTCAAAATTCATTTGATGGAGGGTTTTCGGTTTCAGTTTCAATTAATGTTCTGAGCGATTTAAATATGAAAGTAAATGCTGGAAAGTCTCATGTTTTTCCATTTGGAATTGTTAAATTCTTGGCAAAAAAGAAAAAGTGTTGGAGGGGACGTTGTTAAAAGAGAAAAATAATAATAACTTGAAATTTTAGCCAGGTATGAAGACTAAATTTGTTCTGGATTGAGAATAAGGCAGTGAATCGTACCAAAAAAAAGAAAGATAAAATCGTTCGGAAAATGATACGCTTGTTTTTCAGGTTAATATTGAAGATTTACAACGCTTGAATTTAAGACGACCTAAACTGTTAATTTCAACCAGAGTGAATCATTTTATTAACTGGACCAAAATTGAGAATAGTTGCATTTTCCATGATACTTTTGATGGTGATATCAGAGCCATAGAAAATGATTTGCGACAGATCGACGGATTGCGTGATTTTGAAATAAACGCCGGATTATAAATGTTAGTTTATTCGATCATGAAACGGTAGAAAATTAGGCTTTTGACAATTCGTCAATTTGCGTTTTTTGATTTGTGCTGTTTCATAAAATTCCCGGATTTTTGTTAGTCTCATTTTCATCAATTCCTGTCGATATGTATTATTTTCAGCTACAACAATCTTAGCTTTGACATTTTGAAGCGTTCATCGTCAATCGGTTTTTGCAATGAAAGATCAGGGCGTTTCAGTAGTGGCCATTCTGTATAACTGGAATTAAATCGCATAAAAGTTGACATTTAAGTAAACGGGTTAGCCTTTTTGGAATTACTCGTTCTAATGGTCCATGGATCATTTACATCATTTAATGGGATGAATCAGCGAAATCGTCGGCTGCGCACTTTATTGAGTTGCATATTTTTGTGACATTTTGTAACATGCTTTCAACACACTGCGATTGGAGATTTACGTCTGTTTTCTTATGCATATACTTTACCAGACCATTGTAATTTTTTCAATAAATTATGATATAGTAGTATTGTTAATTGCTATATTCAGTTATACTGCATATTAAATACACGATAGCTGAAGCTTTCCAAGGAGATAAAGGTGTATTTTTTTCTTTTTTTACAAACTTGCAATTTGTGCAGAACATTTCGCCCACTGGATTCCTAAAATTATCAGTGATTTGTACAATTTGACCAGTAAAGCTAACTTCAGCTGTATATCAAATGTAAAGGATGTGTGCAAGTATACTGTTCTTAATCTAGGAATTGAAAATGTGAAAAAGAAAGAAATGCAGTAATACTGCTACATTCGTATAACATTTTGCTTCAAAAATTAACTTACATATTCCGACTATCGACAAAACATTAATCACTGAAATAGTCCAGGCTGATAAGTAATCCACAAAGCACTAGCTTTTTTCGCCAATGTCCTCGAAGAAAAGGAAGAAACAAAATCATTGAATAAGAAAAAGTAAAGGACATTTTTCAATATCAGCAAAGTTTCTGTTATTTACAATCAGGTTGGTTTTTTTCACTGACTTTACGAAATGGAGCGAACAATTCTTTCAATTTCTTTTAACAAGATTCATCCATTTTAAACAAAAACAACAGTGATAGAGTGTGTTCTCGAGAAGCAATGCATGTTCTCCTCAAGTTTTAGATGAGAAATGCATACAATACATTTAATTAAATTCAATCCAATTCAAATGGAAAGTTTTTTAGGAACAGGATGAAACAACTGGCAGTAAACAATTCTTTTAGATTGAAATTTGAATATAATTCTTTAACGGACTGTAACAGGAGAGAGGGGTTGGAGTGAAAGTCGAAAAACTTTTGGAAATGATGAGTGGTTCAAGGAAAGGATTCTGGGTGACATGAAAGAAAAAGGAATTCAAAAATTGCTCTTAGTAAACCATCGGGATCTCACCGAAATTTTCCGAGTTATACATTATTCGGTGTCCAATCTAATGCAATCGATATATTTGTGTTATTGGTTTTTATAATTGTTAATTTGTTTGAATATTGCTATACTCAGTGGAAGATTTCAAAAATGCAAACATTTAACGTTTTGACTTGTAGAGGATTGTTTTTTTTATTCGATTAATCAAATTAAGCGATAAAAGTGGAGAAAAGAATCATTTTCCTCATCATTATTACCTGTTCACTTCTTGTGAAGACATTCAATTTATTTTTCATGTTGTGTGAGTTTTTGCCAATCAATGTTTTCACCTACAGCAATTACCTTTATCACAACTATAACAGTTTGTGACACTTGATAAGCAGTGTCAATTTTTATTTTTATTTTTCAGTACTTTTTATTTTTAGGGAACAACTATAGAAAATAAAACATCAACAAAAGCTTTTTCTCCAATAATTTCTACAACAACAACTTCACAACAACTCCAACAATTACAACAACATCCTCTTTTTCAGCAATTTTTCCTCGAATAAACATTTCTACATCAACTTTAGTAGTTCCTCCTACAATAGAATTTTTTAAATAATTTCAACAATAACTTTTTCTTCAACAATTTTTCCTACAACAACAACAACAACAACTTATTTTACATCGACTTCCTACGACTTCAACAATACCTATAGCAGCAGGAATTCTAACAATTAGGAAGCTAAGACCACAACACAAGAAAAAAAACTCTTACAACTACAACTTCTTAAACAAAAAAAAGGAACAGATTCCCCTCCAACAACTTCTTCAACAACTTTTGCAAAAACTACAATAAAAACAACCGTTCCTTAATAGCTTCTATCCAACAACATTAGCCTTTGTTTCAAGAACTTCTGAAAGTGAAATAAATTCTTCTCTAACAACTACAACAGCAATTATCTTTTTTTGCTTTAACCTCAGCAATAACTACTACAGCAACAGCAGCAAATGACTTCTTTTTTCTTGACAGATAACTAATTTTAATATTTTCCATGTCCTCTAAACTCAATAACACATCATCATACAGCATCATTTGTAATTTTCCTGTCAAATCCTTCACAAGAACTTCTTCAACGACTTCTTCTTTTAATATTTCCTAGTCGAAATACTATCGGGCAGATCAAAACAATCATTAATTTCATCTCTCAAATGGAAATTATATATTACAATGAAGAAAACAAGCAACCTGTGGAACAATTATTACAATTACGAAAATCGTACGATGTTACAATTGAATTCATAATCTACTTCGCAACAAGCAAACCATATTTTGTATTATTCTAAGAAAGAAATTTCAATGTTACAAATTGAAATGATGAAGTTTGAGCAGTAATTGACGTTACTTCTGCTTTTAACATAAAGTTGATATTATATCGAATAAATGCAATAGTTGCATAATTGCATCCGTAAGACAAATTTCCTTCTAACCATAGCAACTATAACTTTATAATGTTGGAGAACGATTTGTTAGAAGAATTTAAAAAGATTTTTCAAATGTAAAGCTGTTTTAAACGTTATTTTCTTTTGTCATAGAAATACTAAAGTTCCCATCAAAAAGCGGTTTCTCTTTCAATATTCCGTCAAGCACGCTAATTTATGAATATTATAATTTAAATTAATAGCAGGTAAAATTGGAACAAACCATAAAACTGGGACAACAAAAAGTAAGTTGAACTTTAACTAGAAATTTCACACCTTTTCATACCTTGGAGTTGCACGCACTCAAATGTCATTCGGTGCTTGGAATATTTAAATTATAAAAAGATTATGAAATTATGAAAAAATAATAAAAATAGTATTGTCGTGACAAATTAAAAGAAAGGGAGTTAAGAAGGTGAGGTAGATTGTTATTGTTCGTTGTGGAAGCTGTTATATTTTTAAAGGAATGACTTACAGTGTATCGGTTTGTTTCGTGTTTGAAACTTACAGCAGATTATCCTTTTTTGTCGTCTGGATACCAAATACAGTAAAGATAGGTTCAAATAATTCCCATTACAATAGAATGACTTCCAGGGTAAAGTCAGTAGAATAGTGAGATTTTGTAAGGATTAGTAGATTGGGAGAGATAAATGAAGAGCGTTTGTGTGAACCTGAGTGTCGACAGATGGGATTTTTGCAACAATGTGTCAATGTTAGGATTTCTAATGTTTATATAAGGAGTGTGTAAGGAGAAACAATCATAACAAATTAACGTATACTCACAGCTACCAGAGAAATCTCCATATCTATATTAACTTATATTAAGTGACTTCAATCAAAATATACTTTGTTTGGAGAAAAGAAAGAAATACAATAGTTCACAGAAATTTAGAGATAAACATGTTGGATATAAATATGTTTATAAGATTAGATATCTCTACAGTATGCCCATCAATGTTCATGAAATTAGTTGTAATCTAGAGTGCGCAAACCTCAATATGAAATAAAACTCATTCAGACGATTTAAAGATTTGATAGCTGACTCATGACTTTGAGCATGAGAGAGGAAAAATAAATGTAAATGCAAACTATTTAAATGAATAATCTTATGATACAATTATTTCGGTTTTTCCAAGAAGTATTGCTTTTGAATTATTCAAGTGGTATTGCCTATGAATTATAAGATTCATTCAATTAGATGACGTAATATCACCGTTGATTTTACACTGAAGATGCTAACTTAAATTTGTTATCTTTGCTTGTTCCTTATTTTCTCTTGTATGTCATGCGTTTTTAAAATTCAGGACAAGGAAGAATTTTCCAAGAGTGTTGCAATATATTTACATTTGCGTAACTTCAATCCCAACCTACATTTAGCAGATGAGATTTCAATTTTGCAAAGAATATGGATACTTTGAAACAGTCAAAAATTTATCTGATATCACTTAAAAACTATTTGTCATCTGAGCATTTTTCGTTTCTAATGTAATTTCACCATTTAAATTTATACAGTAGTAATCATTATAGGAATCGAATGTTTTTTTTCTCATTCCATATGTCGGAAAAACTGGAATAGTTGAATCATAGAATTATTCATTCAAATTGTCATGAGTTAACTATCTACCAATCGTTTAAAAATGTTTCCTGTCTCACTCTACATTCGGCAACTAATTTGTAAAAGCCTTATCTTACGCATAAATCTTGTATACTGCTTGAGAAAGTTGTATATCTCACAAAATAATTTCCTATAATTTCCTCTTCATCTATAAAACCAATCTTATGTAAATTCTTTTGTAGAATACTGTCAATTTGTAATGATTGTTACGAAATTTCATATCACACATTCCTT